GAGTGAGTAGTGCAAGATGTGATAGTGTTGCTTTGCATCTTTGGCTCTTCGATTCTTTAGTTCAGGTGATTTTTTCACTATATTAGATATCCCATTGTATATCATTTTCATTGTAGGATAGAGGTACTGTTATAATACAAGTACTCTAGTGGCCTGGAGAGGGGGGGGGGGTTCTTGTTATTCCTTGCATTTTGCAGTTAGAGAGATTGGTGCTTTTGTATGCTAGGCTTGTAGGGTCTTGACTGTATATATCGTATGATTCCGTTTGGGGCATGTTTGGCAATGTAACTAGGGAAGGCTAGTTTTCAAGGGTATGTACTATGTTAGTTATGCATGTGTGTATGATGTATGGATATATGGTACTGATAAAGTAGGCCCTATGTAGTCTAAGTTGGATAGCATGAGAACTCATGGTCTAATACGCTACTTGTGATGTTCTTGTTTGATTGTTCACTCTTGCATGGATCATCTATTTGACTGCCATCTGATCCCTGACTACATACGACTTTATGTCTTGTATAGATGACTTGGAGGTGGCTCCTTGTAGTAGAGGTTGGGCTTGTCCCGTTTATATGTGTGTTGGGTTGGGCCTATTTATATATTGTGTTAGGCTCCTTTTCATGTTGGGCTAGGCCTGTTTACATGTTGTGATGGGCTCATTTATATGTATGTTGGGTTGGGCACATTTATATGTACATTGGGACGAGCCCATTTGCATGTTAGGTTGGGCCCATTTATATATATATATATATATATATATATATATATATATATATATGTTGGGTTGGACATGTTGCATATGATATATGTACGTGGATAGGAGATTTGATTGCTCAATGTTGGAGTCGAGATCTTGTGTAGATGCATTGTATGTATGATGGAATATGTGGTATATTGGAGAAGTCACTAAGCTTTACGCCTACATTTGTGGATTAAATATTTTATAGATTGTTCGTGAGAAGAGCTCAGCAGGACTGTACAAAACGCATCAAGGATATTTGTTTCTATAGTTTTGTAAACTTAAATATGATATTGTATAGTTTTAACCCAATGAATATTACTTGATGGTTTTTGAAACAAAGGTTTTAATTGGTTATCATAGTTTAAAATGGAAAAAATCTCTTTGTAATTTTTAGGATGTTACAAGTTGGTATCACAAATTTGGTTTGAGGGATTCGAGCACGCCTAACGGTGTTTTTGAATTCAAACTACGGACTTAGAGATCTTCTAAATGAAATTTTGAAAAGAAAATGCTTTTTTTTTTATTCAAGAAAACGATTTTCTAATAGATTTCATAGCAAATGAAGGATGCGAAGCATATAGTCGGCCGGAGCTCATGAGCTAAGTAATTCCCAATATATCCATATGATTTGTATTTGTTCTATGAATTGTTATGTATGCTATCATGTAGGTTGTATATCTACTCAGGAATTGTATGATAGAATTTCCTGACTTTTATGATGCCTTATAGCCTAGAGAATTTTTTGTTATGTACTACTTGAACTCCTAATTGATAATGTTATTTGTTAGGTTTATGTTTTAGAGTTGTATACAGTTTGGATTGAGTAGGCTTATGATGATTAATTTAGCCTTATTTCTTATTCCTTAGCTGGTTGTGAGCTTAGGGTAGAATCACTCATTCGACAATCTATTTGATCATGTGTTGTGTATAAATTTCATGTATGAGGCAACCAACGGTGTTGATAGGGGTTCTAGAAGTGCGAAAACGAGTAAGAGGAGGATCTTACATGGTGTGTCTAAGAAGTGTAGTATTATGCATATGGCTAGACATATGCAAACACGTAAGGAGTTTGGTTTAGTGATGCGAAGTGATGTGGGAATCTTAGAATAGTCCTTGGAACGAATATAAATATGTGTGGAATATAATACATACGAGTATTCTATGGTATGGCAAAAGAGTAAGAGTGTTTGCGACACTTACAAGTTAATATTTGATGAGAGAAAAGTCTTATAATAAAATGAGAACATGACTTGAGAGCATGAGAAGAGACTTAACTTGAGATACCCTTACTTAGCGAGATTATAAGAACATAATCCTTTTAAGGAGGGGAGAACATGTGACACCTATTTTCATAATAGGTATTAATGTGTGATAATAATCAATAATTAGAGGAAGAAAGTGATAGATCACTCTGAGACGACTCCATGGATATAAAGTTCGTCAAAGACGGAGTTCGTATGAGGCAGTTATGACCGTTTGAAGTTGGGAAAAAGTGCGTTGCTATTTTGAGAAAGTCTACAAAAGTCAAAGTAAAATAGTCAACTCTTGGGTTACTACGGTGTGGCTACACATTCACCACGGCGCGGTGTGGAGTGAGTCACCGAGACATGTGGCGATTAGGTGAGACGATGACGAAGGATTATGACATGTCTCAAGGATGGAGATATCCTCATCACCGCAGCGCGACGCGTCTCTTTCCACGATGAGGGGCATCCAATTTTATAAATAGGATCCATTTGTTTCAGTTTTATGGTTTCGTCACATGCGGTCGGGGGAGCGGCTCGAGAGGTGTTCCTGGAGGCTTATAACCGAAGAGTTGTTCTAGTGTAGGGGATTATGAAGGCTACGTTAGAGGATTTGTTGAGGTATATTTGATCTCGTTATTACATAATTATGTTGAAGTGATATTTAGTAGAGGGTTGTTAGACCCGAGTATGTGTTACATGATTTCATAATATGGTGCTATTACGAACCCGATGATTTGTTAAATATTAATCTGTTCATTACGGGTTAAATACCATAATTTACCGAGATTTGTAGATTAGATTAACGGCTTGTGGGGGTTAAGTCGTTAGTGAATTGTATTTGAAAACATTACTAGTTTTGTGACAAATTGTTATCGAGTTTGGTTAGTGATCAAGTAACAGATCTATATGGTGGATATAGTGATGAGATTAGACAAGTACTAATGAACTTGATATATTGTCCAAATAGGATTAGACAACTGATGAATTAGAAAGTAGCACTGAGGTGGAGGCCATAATAATAGTTAGCCTTCACTAACTAACCAAGCGATTAACCTTATATCTGTAGATTAATGACATATAGATATGTGATAACTATTATGCATATTTATACTTGAATAAAATATATTAACTGTTATTTATTAATATCGTATGAGTTGAGTAGTTGTGTTAATTAAAAATTATAGTTGCATAATGTTATATGAGTCATTAAGTAGAATAATGGAAAATTATAGTACTTTTTTACTATTTGAGTAAATAGACGAGAATGATTGAGATAACAAGTATACTCGAAATATAAAATAAAGTATTAAAAGATGTATTAATCGACGATTACGACTAAGACATGTAGTTGTATATAACTATAGGAGCTAAGAAGTGGGAATTACTAAGATAAATAGTCGAGTATTGTTGTACAAGTTAATGAGTTAGTATAGTGTGTGTGTAAGAGAGAGAGAGAGAGAGAGAGAGAGAGAGAGAGACGAAATGGAGTGAGAGAGATATTAAGAGAGATGAGAGAGGAGGAAAGAGAGATATAATAAAGAGAAGGATATATATATATATATATATATATATAGAGAGAGAGAGAGAGAGAGAGATAGATACTTAGAGAGAGTGATGAAGAAGAGAACTATAGAGAAAGAGAGAGAAATACAAATAGAGAAAATGAAAATAAGTATAGAAGAGTAGCAATACTAAAGAGAATGAGAATCAGTATAGAAAGATTAAAAGGAAAAGAAATAAAACGAAAATTATATCTATATCTATAATATATTATAAAAGATTTTTTTTTTCTTTTCATCACGTGTATTTGAAACCCTCAAACTCTTATATTTCATCTAACATATTTTATTAATTTACATGTTTTATTAAATGAGAAATATTGTCATATTAATGGTATATTTTTTGAATTATCTTTACTATACTTTAAAGAAAACTCCCAAATCATATTTCATCTAAGAGCATTAGGTATGGGCACGTTGAGGTGGTGTTATAACAACTTATAATACCAAGGGGGAAATGGTGTTCATGGTGTTATGACCATGTTATGAGGAGGTTAAGAGGAGAAAAATAGAGAGAGAAGAAATGTGCAGCCAATCAATGTTCCCGTTTCAATATGTCATAACGCCAACAAGATATGCCATAACACCAAGGGGGAAATGGTGTTCATGGTGTTATGACCATGTTATGAGATGCCACATCAGCAAAAACACCATTTCTCGTTGCCCATACCATATACTCTAATACATATTTTTATTAATTTACATGTGTTATTAAATGTGAACTATTAAATCCTGGCACTACTAAGCCCTTGTGGCCATGGAGGTTCGCCTGCAGTGACTCCAGGGCATGAGGCAAAGCCTCATGTTTGCAGCGGGGGATTAGTCGGTGCGCGAAAGCTGGTCCGGAAACCCTCGTTAGGGAAGTTCCCTTTCCAAAAAAAAATGTGAACTATTATGAATACAAATACCTCAAATGTTAATTTTAAATATCATGTTAAGTCCAAAATAAATGATCATTTCAAAAGAACTAATTATTATCAAAAAAATATTTTGGTGACGAGGTTCCAATTAGATGGTCGTTTCAAAAGATGGCACAAAAATTTTTGGCCACAAAATTTTGTGATTTTGCCATACTACAAATTTCACGTGACATCCATCAAAATAATCTAATTGTAGTTTGAAAAAAAAAATGTTTATTTAAAATATAATCTAAGTTTTTTTTATTACTTACTAAACAATTCTTTTAAAACCCTATTAAGAAGAAGAAAAAAAATAAAAAAAAAGATTACCCATGAAAATGAAAGTTACAAATATCATCCAACATGATTAAGGACGCACAAAATATGCTAGCTTTGTTGATCATATTAAAAATAAAAAAATAAAAAAAATAAAAAATAATAAAATAATAAAAAAAAAAAGTCTTCGAAATCGGAATATAGCCGTTGCTGTATAATTTCCAACGGCTATCTCGCTAATAAATCCCTGATTTCAAACTTTCACTTCAAAAACCCCCTCTTTCATCTGAATTCAAACACCCACTTTCCATCTTTCTCGCATCAAATCCCGATTCTTACCATTTTCTAATCTCTTCTCTCCACCAATCTCATCAAAATGAATGATTTGTTGACTAAATCCTTCACTAGCTACGTAGATCTGAAGAAATCATCCATGAAAGACATAGATCTGGAAGCAGGTCCAGAGCACGATCTCCAAATGCACACCATACAACAACCAGATCACAACCTCACCTCTTTCCTCCATGAAGCCGAGCTCGTGAAACAAGAGATGAACTCAATCAAAGAAACTCTAGCTCACCTGCAAGCAGCGAATCAGGAATCCAAAACGCTTCACAAACCAGATGCATTGAAGTCAATCCGGCGTCAGATCAACGGAGACATCGTCACTGTGCTGAAAAAAGCAAAATCGATCAAATCTCGCTTGGAGGAGATGGATCGGGCAAACGCTGAGAGCAGGAGGTTGTCAGGTTGTAAACAGGGAACTCCGGTGGATAGAACGAGAACAGCGGTGGCGAATGGGCTGAGGAAGAAGCTAAAGGAGCTAATGATGGATTTTCAGGAACTGAGACAAAGGCTAATGAGCGATTATAAGGAGACAGTTGGCCGGAGATACTTTACTGTCACCGGAGAACAACCGAATGAAGAAGAGATTGAGAAGATCATCTCCAGTGGATCCGATGGACAAGGCGGCGAAGAGTTTTTATCCAGAGCTATTCAGGTACAACAATTAAAGCACAAAATACTTGTACCCTAATCTGAATTTAGCCATTTTAGATCTGGTATACAAAACCCCCAAATTCTGTTCAAAATTTCGATCTTTTGGATGATAATTCGAGTTTCATAACAGGAGCATGGTCGGGGAAAGGTGTTGGAGACGGTGGTGGAGATCCAAGACCGCCATGACGCCGCCAAGGAGATAGAAACAAGCCTACTGGAGCTCCACCAAGTGTTCTTAGACATGGCAGTGATGGTGGAAGCTCAAGGTGAGAAGATGGATGATATCGAGCATCATGTCATGAATGCAGCTCATTATGTGAATGATGGAACCAAAAACTTGAAAACAGCTAAAGTTTATCAAAAGAGCAGCAGAAAGTGTATGTGTTTTGGGATTATTTTGCTTTTGATTATCATTCTTGTGATTGTTATCCCAATTATCACAAGTTTTAGCAAATCTTGATGTGTGTTATGTAAAAGGCTACATATATGTGTCCTGATTTGATTCTTTTTGAAGTACGTAATGTGTGTATCTTTCTTTCGATTGAAAGTTAGGTCTATTAATATTTAATATTTAATTAATACTAAAAAATGTTTGGCTTATCTGTGATTTTGTTAACTTGACTTTTATTACTCCATTTGAAATTTTGAGGTAAAATGATGGTAAATATTATTAATAAAACAATGCATTTTTTATACATTTTTTTTATTAATAAAATTTGTTTTTATAAACTGCAAGTTCACAAGCACAAGTTCCTACAATTTAAAAAAAATTCAATTCAAACACGTTGTTTATACACTCAGGGGTTGTTTGGCAAGATCTGAATTTTTAAGATCTGAATTTTTAAGAGATCTGAATTTTTAAGATGGTCTGAAATTTTAAGAGCTGAATGTTTAACATGTTGTTTGGTTGGGACCTCTGAATTGTTCTGTTGAATTATTAAAATGAATATTTTACCCTTCTGTTTTATTTTTTTATTAAATTCAACTGTTTATTTAGAAAATAACCTGATAAATTTTTTTAATTATGTACTAAAAAATATATAAACACCATATAAAATCCAAATTTAGCATAAATCAAAATTAAACACAAATCCAAATCAAACATAAATATTTTTAAATCCACAAAAACATACTAAAATCCAAATAAAATCCTACAAATTTAAATTCACCCCAATTGATTCGCAATCTGGTCACGTAAATTATCCATGTATTCATTTCCTTGTGAACCCCATTCCATATTGTGTATGTTTTCGCCATCATTTTGCCCCCTTGTGCTTGAGCATTGTTCTCCTCGAACGCCATAAATAACTCATCATGAATATCACATTTCCTTATGAAATTGTGGACTGCAAAACAAGCAACGACTATATCTCTTTGCATTGAAAAAGGAAAAGGAGCCATTCGCTTTAGGATTGAGAATCTCGCCTTTAAAAACACCGTAAGCACGTTCAATAACATTTTTGAGTTGCGCATGTGCATGATTGAATTTTTCTTCCTTAGTTAACGGACGTCGTCGTTGATAGTCGGCTAACCAATACCTCGTGTTACGGTAAGGAGTCATAAATCCACGAGTGTTGGTGTATGCAGCATCGCAAAGGTAATATTTATCTATACATATGAGTGAAGGAAGTATTATATATAGAAATTTAATATTGTATTTTAGAATAAATTTAAAAAGAATTAAAAACCTGGAGGAGGGAACGGAAAGCCTGAAGTCGGGTTACATGCAACTTCTTTCAAAACTCTCGAATCATGTGTTATACCCTCCCAACCGGCCCATACGAATGTGAACATCATATCAAAATCACAAATTCCTAAAACATTTTGAAAGCATTCACATTTTCTTCTTCCCCTATAGCGAGTTTGTTGATCAGCAGGCACGACTGCATGTACAAGAGTTCCATCTAGCGCACCTATTGCTCCAGGAAAGATTTCTTTTAGCTTACGATGCCTCTATGAGGAATTCACGGTTGCATTAGAATTCGTTGGCACTATAACTTCTTTTGCAAAAATCATCATTGCATTTAGCACCTCATGAAAGCATCTATGAACTGTTTCTGTGGAGTGTTGAAACCTTCGTTTGATAATCCTAAACCGTTTATTATGTGCTATAGTTGTCAAGAACATAGCCATCTTTTCTTCAACGCTTATATGCCTACTACTTTGCAACCAATTGTTTCGTCTAAAATGATTGCATAAAAGTACATATGCTTCACGTGAAAGACGCATCAAGTCATAACATTGTATAGAAGTTCCATGTAACAATTCTTGTGTGTGTTGATGACCACTCATTTCCGAGTCATTATCAATTGCCCTTTCAATTCTGTTGGATGCTAGATTCAACCAATAGCAACATAGTAACATGAAAAATGCAATCCGAATCCATAAGCAATATGTTATTTTGAAAATACATAACAATTATATTAACAACATATAACATAAAAATTCATCAAGTCATTAATATCAAATAATCCAAAACATCAAGTCATTAATGTCAAATAATCCAAAACATCAAGTAATCCAAAACATCAAGTCATTAATGTCAAGTAATCCAAAAAAAACCATCTAGTTCAAACCAAACATCAAGTAATCCAAAAAAAAACCATCTAGTTCAGACCAAACATCTAGTTATCCAAAAAAAAAACCCATCAAAACATTCAAAAAATCTACTTAGCGAAAGATTCCATAATGTGATCCAATAGTCTTGACCCAATTCTCACAAATAGTTGGATCAATGGTTAACCACACGTGCCTCTTATCCGCACTTTCACCAAAAAGAGCAACAATAGTAGTGTATCTTGGATCAAATATTCCCCATCCTAACTTCTCCAATTCTTCCATACACGCATCCAAATTTGAAGAAGAATGCTTTTCCACAAATATTTTAGCAACTGTGGCAATATCTTCACTGATTTCAAGCAATCTTGAGTTGGATGCATCTTTACCCTTATCTTTACCCTTGTCTTTACTTTTATTTTGACTCTTTGCCGTATCTGTAGTCTTTTGTTTTTTTTATTGAGCGGATGACTCGTCCCTGAGACCTACAGTTTCTTGTTGAGTGCAATCGATGTCATCAAAGTCATGCAAATTATAGTGGCTTGACTCTTGAGTAGGACGGGGAAGGGTAGAAGTTGGTCCCAACTATTTATGCATGTCGCAGTTGCGCCTTCAAACAACTGTGTGCAAAGGTCGGGGTAGGGTAATGACGTACGTCTCAAATAATCCACATGTTTGTTTGACTGTTTGAAAAAAATATTTTATTACTTAAACATGATAATATGTTTTTTATAACTAAACAAAATACCTTTGATTCTAATTCCCATTCTTCTTTGGAAAGGTTGAAGGTATTGGTTGTTGAATTGTACACGTTGCCGGTTTTGTTTTTTAACTTCAAAAAAGCACCAAACTTTGACTTTAGGTAGTCATAGCGGTTCTTCATTTATTTTTGGTCCGCAATAAAGTTGTGTTCAATTTTTAATGTTTTAGCTACATTCCTCCAAGATAATGCTTTCAAACTACTCCCTTCCCGCCCATTCACCGTAACCTCACGTAAACAAGCTTCTAGAAACGTTTTTTCTACACCTTCAACCTTCCAACTAATTCTATCATTCTTTTCTCCCATTTCTTTGATCAATTCAACAAAAAAATGCATGTTTTAATAACAAGTTAAGCATTTTAAAAACACATTTTCAACAACAATTTAAGCAAAACAAGTGTATAATGTCATGATATAAGCAAGAATATATATGATTTCACTATAACATCAAACACAAATATGGATATTTCTTTATAACAGCAACAAAACTAATGCACATTGTCAACAAATATTTCAACAAAACAAGTGTACAATTCAATAAGCAACTATAACATCAAACATAAATATAAAATTATTATGATAACAACAACAAAAATAATGCATATTTTCAACAACTACAACATTTCAACATAATACTCAACTATAAAAACAGTTTAGAAATTGGTATATAAAACCGGTTGTTGTTGAATCACTCAAACTGCCACCAATGAAAATACCTTCTTATATGTGAATTTGGATTGTTTTGTCCCATAATTAGGATTTATTTAAACACATTCAACCCACCAAGAAGTGCTTCAACACTTCTCTATATCATATAAATTTTTTTATTTAGATATGATTCATCATGTTTATATATATATTCAGTTCCAGAACCTAACATTCAAAGGCACACCAATAATTCCTTGAATCAAAAACCATTTTCAGAACCATCTTATAAATTCACGATGAATGTTTAACAGAGCATTCATTCCAAAAACCATAATCAAATTCAAAGCCACCGATCATAGAGAAGAGGAAGAACACCCATTCCAAAAACCCTAATCGAGTTCTCAGCCAACAAAATTGAGCATATAACAGAAAGAAGAGGAGGCAAACACCCATACCTGTTGTAGTCGATGAGTCAATGGAGACGGAAGAGATAACCACCGCCGGGAGCAGCGACGATGGGCCGTCGTCGACGATTGCGCCGGAGGGAGTATGTGTCAACGATTCTTCAAAACAGATGGGAAGAATGGAGGGAGGCGCATATGCAAAGTGAAGCAAGAAGAATAGACGGTCGATGAGTCGATGTGTTTAGGGTAAATTAGGATGCGTCTCTTTTTTTTATTTTTCAGACTTCATTTAATATCTGAAAAAATAAGAGGCATCTTTTAGTTTAAGAGGTAAAAAATAATACTCAAACAAATACTCTCAATCTGAAATTTTAAGACATTACCTCTTAATTTTGCAATTAAGAGGTAAACAAACGGGACCTCAACTCTACAAATTGTTTATATATTTTGACATTAATAATGGTCGCAACAATCGGAAAATGAAAAATAAATACCGAAAGCTTGTATTAACACAATGGAAATGGGGCTTCGTTTTTATTTAAAGGCGTAACAAATATGTGAAATTTTATCAAATATCAACTATCAATTTCTCAAATATCCCTATTCTAATAAATGAATAATTTTATTCTGCTCTTACAAAGTATCATACTATTAGAACTTATCATTAATATTGTATGTTACATATTATGCGACTTGTCAACCTATTAATTATCAATTTCAAATTTCAAATTTTAAAATTATCACTTAAATTACATTAAATTATTAATTGATTCTCCATTTTAAATTTCAAATTTTAAATTTTTTTCACTCTAATTATATTAAATTAATAACATTAGATTAAAAAATAAAATTAAATTAATACAAACTATAAGATGATATAACTTCACATATTTATTTAAATCGATGATTATAATTTTATATAACTAGAAAAATATCTCTTAAGTAATAATTTATTTTAAATAGTTGATTAATATTTTTGATTTTTTTAATATAAAAATTTTATTAATTTTATAACCGTGGTTCTTACAAGTTATAACCTAATATTGTTACCAACAAAGAGATACATATATGTTTGACTAGTGGCCTCAAACTAATCGGGAAGTGTATAAAGTACAAGCAGCCAACTAAATTAATCTCAATCACACATTTCTATATAAATTTGGAAGTAATGTCTAAGAGTCAACGATACGTTTATAACCATATAAATTTTAGAAAAGTCACTTTATTTTGGCATTGGTGTAATATGATGTCTCAAAATTGAATAAAAAGAAGACACGAAAGATTGTTTTTAAAATCTACAAACTTTTAAAATAAATTGAAATTTAATTAAAGGATATCTCTAGAAAAGTTCCGATATTTTAGGCAAATTTTTAATAAAGCCCTAAAGTTTATTTTTTGAATAAAAAAGCCCTGATTTTTTCACATTTTAAATAGAAAAGCCCAAGAAACCGATTAATTTATTCACTTTAGCCCTTTTGACCTCTTCAACAGGTAATTGAACCAAATTGTTAATTTTTCGAAAATAACAGGACTTTTTTGCAGATTTCGTAAAAAAATTTATATAATGTGTAAACATATTTTTTTTACATATCTATATCAAATTTTACGTATATGTGTATTTATTATGTTTTTTAAATGTATATATTTACGTATTTTTATGTATTTTAAATGTATAAACGTATTTTTTTTTACTTATTTATATGTATTTTAAACAATTTTACATATTTTTTTTAAGTATTTTTATGTGTAATTTTTTATATATTATGTATTTATATGTATTATGTATTTTTACGTATTTATGTATTTTTTAATCTTTTTATATAGATGTTTATGTATTTTAAATGTATAAACATATTTTTTTTTACGTATTTACATCTATTTTTTTAGTATTTTACATATTTTTTATGTATTACGTATTTATGTATTCTTTTAAGTATTTTATATAGATGTTTTTTGTATATTTATGTATTTTAAATGTATAGACGTATTGTTTTACGTATTTATATATATTTTTTTAAACTATTTTACATATTTTTTGTGTTTTTTTTATATTATGTATTTATATGTATTTTTGCGTATTTATGCATTCTTTTAATTTTCTTATATATGATTTTTATGTACTTTTATGTATATTAAATGTTTAATTGTATTATTTTTACGTGTTTATATATTTTTTACGTAAAAATAATACACTTTAACATTTAATGTACATAAAAATACATAAAGATCTATATAAGAAAACTAAAAAAATACATAAATACGTAAAAATATATATAAATACATAATACGTAAACAACACATAAAAACACAAAAAAAAAAATATGTAAAGTACTTAAAAAATACATATAAATACGTAAAACAATACGTTTATATATTTAAAATACATAAATATACAAAAACATCTATATAAAAAACTTTGAAAAAAATATATAAATACATAACACATAAAAGATATGTAAAATACTTAAAAATAGATATAAATACGAAAAAAAATACGTTTATACACTTAAAATACATAAATATCTATATAAAAAGCTTTAAATAAAAATACATAAATACATAAAAATATATAAAAATACATATAAATACATAATATATAAAAAATAACACATAAAAATACATAAAAAAATATGTAAAATGGTTAAAAATACATATAAATAAGTAAAAAAAATACGTTTATACATTTAAAATACATAAAAATACGTAAATATATACTTATAAAAATATAAAAAAATACAAAAATACGTAAAAATAGATATAGATATGTAAAAAATATGTTTATACATTATATAAAATTTTTGATGAAATCTGCAAAAAAGTTCCTTTATTTTCGAAAAATTAACAGTTTGGTCCCATGACTTGGTAAACAGGTCAAAAAGGACTAAAGTGAATAAATTAGTCGGTTTTGTTGGGCTTTTCTATTCAAAATGTGAAAAAGTTATAACTTTTTTATTCAAAAATAAAATTTAGGACTTTATTAAAAATTTACCCAAAATATCGGAACCTTTAATTAAACTGATTTTTTTAAATGTAAAACCCATTTTTCAAGTTGATTGGTTATTATTTTATAGTCATGAGCATTATGGCAGGTTCGTTTAGTCTAAAAGGAATGATAACGCTCTTAATATCTTGACAAGTCAGCTTTTTTAATGCAACCTTATTTTTCTTCATTTAACATCTAATCCTAACAATTGATAAAGAGTGGTAACACTTCTAGCACTTCATTTTAAATTTTTTTTTTTCTAATTTAATTTAATTACTTTATTTTAATAAACAAACTTTTTTTTAATGTTACACAAATGACCTAAAACTTACCTAAGACATAAAGCACGATTTACACCCGGTTATATTGTTTTGCTAGAAAAAATAGCCACCACATCACATCTAGGTAGATTTTTTAAAGTACAATCTATTAATAAGAAAATGCATTCGTGTATGAAATGGCCTTTGAATGATCCTTGTTTTTCCTACCAACATACAATTATATAACATTTGATATTGAAGTTTTGTATATTGAAGAATTTAAGAAGATTAATATACCTAAATAACTCATCTAACTTCTTGTGCCACCATAATTCTTGCCAAAGTGTTATTCTTTATGTGGTTAATAGAAGGGAAATATATATAGTAAAGTCCAATATTTTCATCAATTTGACAAGAAAGTCCTAAACTTTATTTTTTTTACTAGTAAAATCCAAATTACCAGCAGTTTTTGACATTTTTACCCTTTTTTCCCGGTTAGCCGGTAATTAGGACTTTTTTGTCAAAAAAATAAAGTTTTGAACTTTCTTGTCAAATCGTCAATTAAGACTTTACTGTCAAAAAAGTAAAGTTTAGGATTTTTTTTGTCAAATCGTTGAAAATATTGGGACTTTAGTGTATATATAAATTTTTTCGCTTAGAAATTTAATGGTATGATACTCTTTAAGCATAAAAGTTATTGAAACATTCTCTAATCTACTAGATCCTATTGAAATCCTTAACGTTTGCTTCTTGTTAAATCGTTTTTTAATCTCAACAAATTGACATTGAAAAAAATTGAGATAATCAAGAAAGAAAGAATCAGGGTTGTATTGGCTTTTTGCAGCCCCAAAAATGGAGAAATAAGAAACCGAAAAAAACAAAATTGCCCTTCTTTCCCTTCTCCACATTCACACCCTTTTAACTAGGCATGTGTTGTTTATGTTTATATAAAGCTAGGGCAATTTCGTTTTTTTAGGTTTCTAATTTCTTTATTTTTGAGACTGCAAAAAGCCAACACAACCCTGATTCGTTATTTCTTTTTTGATTATCTTAATTTTTGTCAACGTCGGTTTGTTGAGATTAAAAAAACAATTTAACAAGATACAAACGTAAAGGATTTCAATAGAATCTAGCTAATTAGAGAAGGTTTCAATAACTCTTATGCTTAAAGAGTATTATACCATTAAATTTTTAACCAAAAAAAAAAA